GCGGGCCTCCTCGCCCCCTTTTCGGGTTTACGGCACCCAATTTTTGCCTGATTTCTTATTGGTTCTTTCCCCTCGCACAAAGCAAGGGGCGAGCGCCTCACGCCCCAGCATCCTGTTACAGTCGGCCTTGAAGACTGGGTCTGGGAAGGGACGCCGCAGTTGGGCTCCCCGGAGAACTTTCTGAAACTCGGTGGAGTTGCAGCCCTCGCTCTTAACCCTTTCCCCACACGCCCACTCCGCGAGCCTCGGGCGGGTTAAGGTTGCTGTCGCCCCACGGAGATGGGTACTGCGTGTGCACGCCCGGACTCTGGGCTTCGGGCTTGCGGCTCCACTTTGTAAAAGCTAACAGTACAAAGCGTAATGCAGTGTTCTGAAACTACGCAACTCTTAGTTTCGTGGATTTTTTTTTTTAATGAAAGGCCGGCATTTAAAATTTATCAGGATGATGTCGCTGTATAGCCAGCATTGCATCAATTTTTTTTTTTTACAAGCTCGGATTTTTGTGTGCACGCGCGCGTGCGCGTTTTGTTTTTTTTGTTTGAATTTTTTATTGTGGTTATTTAGTGGGCAGGCACAAGAGCCCTCCATATAAACCCAGGCTGCCTGAATGTAAGTCCGTTTGCACCCGTTTCATGACTAGTTGTGAGAGCAAGTTACTTCACCTCTCTGTGCCTGTTTCTCCGATGATGAAATGGAGCTACTAACCGATCCTGCCTGTTGGGAGAATTATAAAGGATATACAACGTCTAATATATGTTTGTGGAGTGGGGAGGAGTACGTTTACGACGTGGCTGACATATAGATGAACTATATGACATATAGATGGACTATAAGAATTGTATCTTCCCCCCTCCCCCCCCCAACACCACCACCAGAGGGACTTGTGAACTTTCCCCCTGAAAGAGCATTTGTGGTATGGTCATCTCTGCTTGGGACACTAGACACAGGAATTTCGGTGGGACAGGAATCTGGAAATGCATCTAACCAGCTCATCTATGAAAATTAGCAAGCCTATTTTAAAAAAATCAGTTCAGCGAAATTCAAATTCAAATCTAGCTGATTAATATGCTGATGTTTGGGGAAAGTGAGAAGTAGACTGTACCATTATTTCAGACTCTTACACAGTTGCCCAGCAGCTTACCCCTGCTGATAATTCTCCCGTTCTCCCTGTTAGAATGGTCTAACTTTCCCTCCAAAATTAGTTTTCTTCTCTCTTCTGAGCTCCTGTTAACTATGAGTATCTGATTTTTACCTAGTGCTATTATGAATGTACCTAGTCCATTATAAAGGTGGGTACTGTTTTAATATTCCATTAGTAATAGTGTACCTAACACAGTATCTTGCAAACTTTCTACTAAGGATTGCTAGAAAGAAACTCATGAAAATATAGGTTGTTTGTAAATTGTTTTTCATTAACAATACCTTCTAACTAATCTAACAGTGCCCATTTAATCTCTGCAACAAAAAGAATCAACTTGACATTTACCAAATGACAAGAGATTCCTTGCCGTCCTTAATAGTCCTCTCATTGCTGCCCCTCACAAATATAACAAGGCCATAACCACAACCACAATTCATAATTAACCAGGTTGTTCACTAGATGGAAAAATCATCTAATTATGTTCAGGTGTTTGTCAGCATGCAAAATCAATTCTATTCAGGTCACCTATTGTTTTTCTTTTTTTCTTTTTAAGATTGATTTATTTATACATACATATCTGGGGTGCAGGCCAGAGGTACAGGGGGTGAGAGGATTTAAGAGACAGAGTAAGGAGCAGAATAGGCAGATGGACTGAAATACACTGCTGAGGGGAGCAGGGGGCTAGTCAGAAGAGGTCTGCTGTGCCATGTGGGTCAGCTCCCTGGCCCAGGGATCAACCTCGTGCTGCAGTGGCTGTGATAGCTTCATATTACTGTACTTTAACCCCTTATGCCACCAGGGAGGGCCCTCTTTTTTCTTTTGAATAAAGTTCAGCTACTCTTTATGCCTACTATTTGCCAAACACCGTACTTAATAATGAAAAATCTGTTTTCCTCCCTAATTTTAGTAAAGGAAATTTTCTTCCAAATTTAACAATAATGAAAGAGTTTGCCTACCAAATGCCACTCACCCTTGTCTTTGTCATTGTCTCATTCTATTCATTTCTAGGCAAGCTTCTTGCTTTTTAGTTCTGCATTAGATTCCTTCTGTATAGCTAGGTGGAGTCTATTATTGTGGCCTGTGTTATGTCATACATTGACATCTACATTTACATAGTTGAGGGGGAAGAAAAGCTGAAACCTGTTTTTACACACTAATAAATCTTGTTAAAGCAGACAAGTCTCTCTGTCTCCAAACTTCCCCACCTTTCTTCCTCCCCACCCTCCCCACCAAATGCCACTTGGAGCAGGCTCATTAGTCCAAAGCAAACCATTTGCCCTAACAGCTTGTACATCTCCATGAAAAAGTGTTCCCAGCAAGTTTAAATATTAAAACTGATGTATTCAAGTAGTCCCACCAGTAAAATGGCAACGAATAGGGAAAAAGGTTATGCTTTCCACAGTATCCATTACACATCAATAAATAATGCTGTTCATTCACATGCCAATTAAAACAAACTCGGGCTGTCAAATGAAGTTAGAAGCAAGGAGCTCAAGGCAATAATTGTTTTTCCAGGAAAACTCCCAATGTTAGATCAAGTATTGGGTTGCCCCCTTTCCCTTCTTAACTGAGCAGTCAAATTTTCTCTTCTCCAGTCTAATCTAGTCCTCTGGCGCTTCCCTTCTCTTTGATTCTGGTCTGGTTGCAGATATTTGGGAGTCTGTTGAAGGATCACCCACTACTCCCTTCTGTTACCAACAGGATCTTACATCCCCCTGTTGTAATTTTTCTTTCCCCTTTTTCAAAAAAAAAAAAAAAAACAGTTGTTAGTGTTTCTTCCTCCACTAATATTATTTAGGTGCCTACTTTCTAGTATTATTCAGCTCTAGTTATTTCCTTTCCCTGGAAGCTGCCTTCTCCAAAAGGCTGTTAAATCAACACTCAGCAGCCATGGTACTAAGATGGGATAGATCTGCTACACAGGGGATGGAGGGAATAAATAAAGTTGCTAGCATGGAAAAGTCTTGGTTGAGTATAACAGGTTGTAGAGCTTATGCTTAATGATATCTCCGGGGCAGAGCCACACAGGCAGATCACATGGTCTGAAGCTTTGTCCTTGGGCAGAAACACCCCAGTAGCACACCCCCACCACCACCACCAAAGTCTGAACATCATTCTACAAATGCCTTATCCAGCAGTGAACATTCTTTTGCAGCCAAGCAACGTAAAGAGCATTGATTGCACGTTTTGCTCTAGAGCAAAGCAACAAAATGATGCCTTACAGCTTTTATGACCAAGCAAACACAAATGATGTAATTGGGAAAAGCTATCTCCGAATAGGAGGGAAAACAAGTAAAGGGCAATCCTTTGAGTTGAAGTGATGACCACCATTTGAGGGCCTGGGATCAAAGCTCCAGCCAGACATCAAAGACCATTTGAGTCTAATGCCAAAAGAGCCACAGTGAATTAAACTCCATATATAAACTAATTATAACTTGACCCCACAATCGGGCTACAGTGAGCACATAAGGGAAAGAATGTAGACATTGAGACAAAAGATGATGATAAAGGAAAGTTGGTAGCAAAGCTGGGCAACAGCATGGCCCCAACCATTTTAAAATTCTTGAGGGCAGAGGGGACGGAGAATGGTGGTGGAAAGCAGACTCGTGACAATGCTGGTCTTGTTTGCAAGGCTAGAGATGGCTCTCCTCACTGGCTCAGGCATAACCAAGCACATCCTAAATCTTGGAAGAAAAGATTCTTTAAAAAAAAAAAGGTTTATTTTATTTATTTATGCATACAAGAACTGGAGAATTCTCCAGAGACAGTGGGGAGCAGAACAGGCAGATCTACTGAAACACACTGCTGAGAGGAGCAGAGACAGGAGAGGGCTATTGTGCCAGGTGGGTCAGATCACAGCCAGGGATCATTCTGCAGTGGCTGCCGGACAGCTTCATAGTGCTGCGTTTTAACCTCTTGTGCCACTAGGGAGGGTCCCTCAACCCTGCCATTTCTGAGGATCATGCTCACACATGAAGGTGCAGTCCATGAAATGTGAAATGTGAAATGTGAAATGAAATAACCCAGACAGTTCAAGCCTATGAAATAAATAAGTCTACCCCATCCTCAAGCAACATTTAAATGTGTTCAGTGGATTTTGCCACTATTCTCATTTATTGGGACTGGTTCTCAATTACTAGAAATTCTCAACTTCATGAACAGGTAAACCATTGCATAAGGTTCATAGCCCGTAGAATGTTTTCAATCATGCTTCTTTGTAGATGAACATTAATGCTTTTTTAAAATTACAAAATATAAGTTTATAACTTGAATCTCTTTATTAAGAGAAAAAATGAAAAGCAGACTTTCTGATAGGATAAAAACAAATGTATACATCATCATTAACATTGCACATCTTTTGATTATTCTTGATTTATTCAACAGATATTTACTGAGTACCTAACACCTGTCGGGGAATGGGTATACATTGGTGAAGAAATCATAATCCCTACCTTCATGAAGTATATTAGGACTTTAATTAGTAACAGGTAAGCTGGCACTAATTAAA